GGCAATCCTACATGGACACATTAATGTGAGTTGTTACACCAGAATCTATCCACCACGTGTATCTTAGTACCGAGGTTAAATTAACCTCAGAACAAATAAAATCAAGAAGCATACATTTCTTTGCACGTCATGGATGATAGTTGGCACATTATTTCTTCTGATAACCTGCAGCTTTACAGAAGATACAGACACTCGCAGTTTGTATCTTCTGCTATTTTTTCTGTGGTGCTTTAACCACAATAGTTTTACATGTTTTCCTTTTCTTATTTTTTTTGTCCTTTGAGATCATGGCTAAATGAGCACTCTCCGTCTTTTGATTCTTTAGCCTTTCCTCTTAAACAAAGTGAGAGATGAGCTCATTAAGGGATCAAGATTCCTTCTGGCAATTATAACTCACCTGACTAAACTGTGGCGAAATAGAGATCAAAACAAAGTGCACTAGTAATTCTTCTAATAATTCCAGTCTTATTGTCTTGAGCTTATAATGTATATGAGACATCTTCATAATGTACTCCATGTTTTTTTGCCCTTTATATCTCATGAAAATAAGGTTTGCCAAGAGTGTACTATTTTTTACCTTCTCATTCTTGGCAAAACATTTCTTGAGAATCTCAAAAAAATCGTAGAGATCTTATCAGACATAGTACTTCGAAAAGCTTCTAAAATGGCACTTTTCATGACCAGCAAACAGATACGGTTTGACTGTTCCCACCATTTTACCTCCCTTTTATCTTCGGGGATACTATCAGCAATAAGCAGATCGAGTTGATTGACTCGTAAAATAAGATCTAAATCCATAACTCTAAGAATAATGAGAACATTCATTTTCTATTTCTTGAAGTTTATGCACTTTAACATTGTGATGGAATTAACACTCATTGAGATATTTGCAATAGAACCAGGAACTGAACAAAGAACAAACAACAACCAATCAATCAATACTCACATAAAATCTTAAACCATAAATAATAATAATGAATTTAAATAAAGGTAAATCTCACTCAAGATATCGGACACTCTATTCACTCTATTTTTGGACAAAATATTAATTTGTATGTGATATCTTGTAATAGTAATTAAACATTGACAATAAAGACACCAAATAATAAATCTTCTTTTGGATCGATTTATAGTTCACATGTTAAACTGAATAACTATCACATATTAATTACATCAAATTGGAATGCAATCATGTCAAACATTAACTTTCTTCTGGGTCAATTAACATTTACATAAATTACATTCATACAACCGTTTTACATTCTAAAATACATTAATTTAATATAAAGGATGTCAC